GGGCTGGACGGCTGTGCTTTAGCGCCGAATCCTCCACGGGACAGGCAGGGGCAGGTGGGGACAGCAGTGACGCGGAGCTGGAGCCGGCAGGCTGGCCCTGCTTCCTCCTCTCCCTGGCTGAGAACAGAAACCCTCTCTCAGCCTTGGTCTCCCCATCAGGAAAACAGAGGGTCCCCCCAACCTCTGGAGACTTGGTTTTCCTCTCTGGAAAATGAGAAACGATTGTTGGAACATTTGGTTCATGGTGAAGACGAAATGGATTCTCCTAGCAGGCGGCATCTTCCACAAAGGCAGGGGCCAAGCCTGCCTCCCCAGGGAGCAGCCCGGCCCAGCACAGGTCCTCATCGAATGGATGGGTGAATGAATGAACCAAAGAGCTGGAGTTTACACCCAAGGTCCAGATCGACTCCTCACTTGCTGGCCTCTTAAAGCCTGTCCCTCTCCTCCCTCCCGTCTCGGGCATCAGTTCATCTCTCCCCAACAGTTTGTGCTCCTGAAAATGCCAGGAATGTGGCAGACCCACAACTGCTACCCAAGGATTAGTGCTCAGAACCTCAGCTCAAACTCAGGCCTGAGAGCCATCTGCTTAGCCAGGGATTCTGGGCCCGGGGGACCGGCAGGACCATTCCCAGGCGTCCTGCACTGCTGGGATGGGATGCAGGGTGTGGCTGGGGCAGGAGGCAGCCTGGGACGCATCTGCATGGCCCTCGGTGCCTGCACTGATGGGTGTCCCAAGGACGCCTGGCCATGAAGGTCATCCATCCACTCAGCAAATGTTCCACAAGGGCCCCCGTCCCAGGCCTGGGTGTAGACGTATCACAGCCATGGTGTGATCCCCTGCAAGGCGGCGCTGACACGCACCATGAGACGAGGCTCTGTCCGTCCCTGTGGGGCCCAGGATCAGCTCCAGGTCCCTCACCAATACCCGCTGCTGGCCAAGTCAGGTGGGCTTTTCCTCGTAGGAGCCAGTGCTCAGAGCCCTGGGTGTTGCTTGCACCCAAGGTCTTGCTGGGGATCCTCTCTGGAACCCTTCCCTGAGCACCCACAGCCCAAGCCCTCCCTGGCCAAGCTGCAGGCTGGTGCCTGGAGAAGGGCTCTTGGCTGCTGGGCGACCACAGGGAGGCAGTCTCTCTTACTTCCCTGTGCCTCAGTTTCTTCATCTATAAAATGGGATAATAAGCCTTGTGATGATTTACAAAAAAGGAAAATGAGACAGTCACTTGGCCAGGCTGGAGTGCAGTGGCGCCATCCTGGCTCACAGCAATCTCCACCTCCCAGGTTCAAGTGATTCTCCTGCCTCAGCCTCCCGAGTAGCTGGGATTACAGGCGTGTGCCACCATGCCCGGCTAAATTTTTTGCTATTTTTAGCAGAGGTGAGCTTATACCACATTAGCCAGGCTGGTCTCAAACTCCTGAGCTCACGTGATCTGCCTGCCTCGGCCTCCCAGAGTGCCGAGATCACAGGCAAGAGCCACCATACCCAGCCCCGCAAAAATGTTTTTTAAACTGTTTTTTGTCTGCTGTTAACTCACCTTTTCAGTGAGTTCAGTGGCTACAGAGAAATGAAGTGAGGGCAGCTCTGGGAGGGGTGGGGCCAGCCTGGGCTCCCTGGGGCTCTGTTTAGAATCACCCCGAGCACCTGTCCTGCCCGCCCACAGAGGTGGTCCCACCTGTCCCCTCACCATGCCACTTGGCCCGGACTGTGTCTGTCCCCTCGGAGGCTGCATAATCGCACATCCCCAGCACCCAGCCCAGGGCCAGGCAGTTGGCTCAAGGAAGGAGAGGGAAGGAATTTACGCCTCAGAGCCCCAGGAGACCCGACGGGGCCCTGACCTCGAGTACGTGATGGGGTCAACCCCAACCAGACCTGCTCCCCCAGCCCCCGAGAGGCGGCATGGGCCCTGCCTAGGTCTGGGTGTGACCAGCCGCCCTTCCTGCCCCTGTCACCCGTGGCTGCTTGTCACCAAGACTGCCCTGTCACTAGAGCCGAGGAGCCAGGCCTGCCCGCCCGCTCTCCCAGCCCCGTGATTTGTCTTGCAGCTGCTGCCGTTGCTCGGAGCGAGACACTTGCTTGTAGCTTGTGAGCTGTGTATAGGCAAATCTTTCATTTTTCCTGCATTACGCCGGCGTGTACTGTCACTTAATTTTTATGTATGCAATCCTTCCTGACAAATATGATCTGCTGCCTGGTAATTCGTCTGACGCTCATTCTGTTCCGCGCTCTAATTACGGCTCCTATTTCTGACACCGAGGCAGCCGCTCTGCCACCACTGGGTACCGCACCTGTCAGCCCGACCATGGCACTGACTAATGCCCTTTCATGCCAGCCCCGTGTTAGCAAATACAGAGGCGAGGAGGGGGCCTGGGAGGGGGGAGGTGGAAGGAGACCAGATTTGCATAAGCCCAGCTCTTGGGTCAGCAGCCTTAGGAGACGAGGTGGTTGCCAGGGCAACGTGGCTGCCACCACAGCATCCCCACGTAGTAGGTGCACATGAGATGTGGCGGATGCATAATTCATCCCCACGCACAGGGCATGAGGTGGCCCTGGCCGCTGTGTCCCTCCTGAGTCACCACGCAATGGTAATTAGTTCAATCTCTTGCCTGACCAAATGTGTGTGCCAGACTTAGCTGTCTGCAGAACTTCTTGGTGGAAGGGGTCTTTCCTGTGTCTTGGAGACACACCCAGGTCCTGGGCTTTGGCTCGGCACTGTCACCATCCTGAAGCCTAGTGGGTGCAGGCCTTGGTTCTGGGAGCTTGTCCTGCTGGCAGGGACTTGCTCAGCCCCATGTAGGCCTCAGCTTATTGGACATCTCCTGGGTGCTGGGCACGTAGCCTGCAGCGAGCACAGGCCCCAGGAGGGCTCCTTCCACCCATCATCAGGCCTGGCCGCGCTCAGAGGGCTCGGGAAGAGCCCAGCTTACGAGGGCGGCCTTCTCCCAAGTTCCAATTCCTTCTCATTAATATAATAAGTGCACCAGTCCAAGTCAATAAAATCACACTGTCGGATGAGACGCATCTCTGCCCATTCCTAATGATGCGATCCTAACCGGCTCTGACGGAGCGCCGCAGTCTTTTCTCTGCAGTGGGACAGAGAAAGGCTCGGAGCTGACTGACAGGGGACAGGAGGCAGCAGTTTTAACTCTTCTCTTTGACAGATTCCCTCAAATTTCCTGGTCTTTTCAAAGCTCTTCAACCAGATAGGTAAATAGTCCCAAACTGAACAAAACACTCGGTTTTTCACAAGGGAAGTCCATGTTTGAGGGGACAGGGAAAGACGAGGCTTCCAGCAATAGAGTCAGTGGCCCGGGTCCCTGAAGGGGGCTCCAACAGTATTTGGCGGGGCCACCGGCCCTCATTTCCTGGAAGCAGCGTGGGTTCTGGAAAGAGAGGCCTGCTGCCATGTGACCTTGGAAGAATCTCTCAAGGGCCTGGATTTCAGATCCTTCCTCTGCTACAAGGAAGGAGGCTCTGGATGCCTGGGGCTGTCAGGGGTGTGAGTGTAGCGTCCCATACTCCCAAGGTGGGGTTCCCGATACATCTTCCCTTTGGAGCTAAAGGAAGAGCTCCCGAGGCCTGGCCGGGTGTCCCCAAGGGCAGATGGGGATGAGAGTTTCAACACAACTCCCTCCCCGCCACCCACACTGGCTCCATCAGCTACTGGGAGCTGCTGGTCTCTAGGTTTGTACATTTCTCCTAATTGTGTGCGACGCACTGAGAGTCTCACTGGAACCCGTGTGAATGGTGACACTTTCCACAGGCAAGGGCGACTTCCAGAAAGTGCCTCTGCCCAGACAATGCTGCTCGCACACCCAGCTTGCCGCAGGCACTCGGGGTCTGGGGATGGGAGACATCCTGGCTTGGGCCATGGAGTGGGGTGGAAATGGGCTGGAATGGGGCAGTGTTCAGGGAGGCAGCCAGCAGCTCCTGGGGCCCAGCTCCCTCCTGGGGAAGTGGATGCTGGCAGGGGCAGCACACAGGGGGTGGGCCTGGGACATCTTCTTCTGCAAACGCACCTCAAAAAGCCAGGAACTAGCCCTGAGAAAGCAGGGTCCTCCCTCACTCCATGGGCTCTGGGAAAGGTTCCCGCAGATGGCCGTGGTAAAACCCAGACAGCCCTGGACTAATGCACAGGAAACTCTGTTCCTTTGTTCCACTGTGGGCAGGCGGGGCCTTCCTGGGTCCTATGTTCTCATTAAATGAAAAACCCTCCATCATCCAGCATTCCAGCTTTCGCACTTGCTTCCACACCCAGTGTACGGATTCTGAAGCTTGCCGCTGCTTCACGTGCCCCCAAAACACACATCTGCCCAAGTCTCTTCCCAAGTCCAGTCTTTTAGCACCCCCTGACCCCTAGGGTGGGATCCAGCCCACTGAGCTCGGCGTTCAAGCCCCCGCCCACCTTTCTTGCTGCTCCTGCAAGGACCCTGGTCTCTGCCAAGCCAAGCTCAGCCGCACACCAAGGCTCACCCACACACCGAGGCTCACCCACCCTTTCCTGGAACACTGCTCCCTCCTTCCCTGTCCCAACAGCACCTGGTCACCCCTTTCGGTCCAGCTACAATGTCACCCCCTCCCTGGCAGGCACCTGGTCCCACAGCTTCTAAACTGCCGGTTTAAAAGCCAAAAACTAGGAACAGCACAAACGTCACCCCCCAGAAGGGACAGATCTGGGGTGCTGCCTGTGAACGGGACACTCACAGCAGTGGGAGGATGACTGCCCTTCAACAGACACATCTCCCACTCCAAGCAACCATCTCAGTTAGCTTCTCCCTCAAGGCCCGGATGGTGATCAGAGGGTGCAGGAAGCCCCAGCCAGGCTCCTCTGGCCACAGAGGACTCCCTTCTGGGTCACTGTCCTGAAGAGATGAGAAACTCTGGGACTTCAAGATGGCATCTTCCTGCACAAACTGACCAAAGGCATGCGGAGAGAATGCTTTCGTCTCCCTGCAGAGTCTCTAGGAACACTGGGGGCTGCTGGGCACACACAGGTCCCCCTTACCTAGGGAGTGGGCTGCGGTGGTCTCAGAGCTGAAGAAGCGGCCCAGACCAAGGTCACCAAGCTTCACAACACCCGTGGCTGTGATGAACACGTTGGCAGGCTTGATGTCTGTGGGGCGAGGAGAAGGAAGTTGGTGTGGGGCAGGAGGCTTGGGGTAGGGGGGGCAGGGCGAGAGGAAGGGGAGCTCCAGGTGAGGTGAGGCCCAGCCCAGGTCCTATTCCCTGGCTCTGGCTGTGGAACCTCCAGAAATTGATCATTTCTGAGCCTCAGCGTCTTCACCTGTAAAATGCGTCTCCCTTTACCAACTTCACAGAGCTACTGCGAGGGTTTAGAGGGCAGGGGTTTCTGTGCTTCTGTTAACAGCTGTATCCTTTGTGCCTAGAACAGTGCCTCACACATAGGAGGCCCTCAGGGAAGTCTGTGTAATGAAGTGCTCAGTGGGACGCCCTGTGCTGTACCCCCGGTGAGGGCAGGGCCTCAAGCACAGCAGACACGGAAAGATACAGGTAGAGTAAAGGAACAAAGGTGTCCAGGAAGCAGCCTACCCAGAGGACTCTGCACCCTGTCAGGCACCCAGAAGGCTCCTTTTCACCACCTGGAATGACGTCAACTGTGGAAACGCCCCTCTCTGGTGCCTCTCCTTCTCAGCACAGCAAAACCCTGCTGAGATGACAAAGCCCCTACCAAAGTCCCCTCTGTGCAAGGCTTCCCCTGACCTCCCTCCCAGGCTGCTGTTGGGAACTGCAGGTGGTGTGCCAAGCGGGGACCCTGCCCTCTAGGGCTCATGACACTCTCCATCTCGGGGAGGACCCTGACACGAGTGGGTGGTGGCTGGACAGTCCCCTGCCTGGGGAAAACAGAGTGGTCTGACTTCCTCAAGGGGCTGCGTCTTCTTAGGGCTCCTGGGGCACCCGGCTTCAGGCGGCCACTGGCGGGCGGCGTGTACCTCGGTGCATCACCCGGCGTGAGTGCATGTGCTCCACGGCGCTGCACAGCTGCACAAAATACTTCCACACCGTCCTCTCCGGGATGAGCCGCTTCTGCTTCTTAAAGTACTGCAGTGGGGGAGACAGGCAGAGGGACAGACCCTGGTGAGCGGGCTTGAAGGTGGGTGGCCGCAGGGCGCTGCCTGTGTCCTTTCCCTGGGGGGCAGCTGGTGCCTGGCACGGGGTGGGAGACTGAGCTGCTGAGCAAAAATAAGCCCAGAACCAAGGGCGCTGTGTGTGTGCCTCTACTTCTACCTGAATGGCACTCCATGGCCACCCTGCCCCCACCCTGCAAGCTCCGTGAGGGCCACATAGGCCTGGTGTGTCCGGATGGCTTTGCCGCATGGACCCCCAGATCAAATATGCTGAAAGTGGCCCTCAACTGCATCTTTCCAGAACCTTCTGGACACACCCCTGAAAGGGCGCTCCTTGCTGGACTGAAATGGGTGTGGACCCTCCCTGGCCCCTGGCCTGGCCCAGGAGGGTGGTACCCAGGACACAAGTGGTTGTGAAATCACAGCTGCCCCCACCTCCTCGGAACCAGCAGACCTCAGTGCACAGAGATTCTTAACAAGCACAGTGAGAACCTTGAGGAAATGGGCTTGACTCGCTCAAATGGAACCCCAGTTCCAACAGGCATCAGTCTGCGTCACTGCCTGGGAAAACATACTTAGCGCTCCAGGAAGAAAACAAACACAGAAAGCCCCTAGTGGCACCAAGTGAGCTCTAAGGTAATGGGAGGTCCTGGAGAGGGCAGGCCCAGAGCATGTCACAGCCACCGTTCGGCTGGAGACCGGGACGGCTCCTGGGCGCCAGGCCCACGGCAGTGCGGCAGGACTCCTTCACCAGTTACCTGCATACCAGCTTCTGTTCAGGGGCTTTTTGCTTCAAAGCAACCATCTTTCCCCAAAGCAGGCAGAGGTGGCGCTGTGGGCCCGCTGGTCACGGCAGCTGCTCTGGTGCTGGAAAGCTGGGCACTGACCCAGGACACACCGGTCCGGGAAGGGCGCGGGTGGATGAAAGGACCTGGGCCGGCACTCTCAGAGCATCTGCAGGATGTGGCCACCATGCCGGGCCTATGAGGGCAGGCTGGGCCCATCTTACAGATGGGAAAATGAAACTGAGGGCCATGTAGGAAGAGGCAGAATCACAGCTCAACCCCAGGTCTCCTAACTAGAAAGCCCAAGCCCTTAGCTCACTTCTTTTTTTTTTTTCTTTTTTTTTTTTTTTTTTTTAAGATGGAGTCTCCTTCTGTTGTCTAGGCTGGAGTGCAGTGGCGCAATCGGCTCACTTCAACCTCCACCTCCTGGGTTCAAACAATTCTCCTGCCTCAGCCTCCCAAGTAGCTGGGACTGCAGGCATGTGCCACCACATCCGGCTAATTTTTTGTATTTTTAGTAGAGACGGGGTTTCAACATGTTGGCCAGGCTGGTCTTGAACTCCTGGCCTCAGGTGACCTGCCTGCCTCGGCCTCCCAAAGTGCTGGGATTACAGGCATGAGCCACCGCGCCCGGCCCCCTTAGCCCACTTCTAGTAACACCAATAACCATTGATATGGGAGACTGAGCTCAAAGAGGTTCTGGAACATGCCCAAGGTCAGCCAGCACCCAGCTGGGACCCAACTCTCGGTGCTTCCCACAGTGGGACAGCTGTGGCTGGGAGCCCCTGGCCTCGCTGTAAATCCCATCAAGGCTGTTCTGAGGCGCACATCCCAGGTCTCAGCAAAGACGCCACCCCTGGGCCACCTCCAGGCCTGTGGCGGGCCAGGCCGGGATGTTATTCACACTATGATGCGAGTGAATCCTCATTACAGCATTTAAGCAGGATGCGTGTGGCCGAGAGTGGTGATTTTCTAAATGTCACGTCCTATAAGCACTGTCTGACATTTAGCGGCGAGGCGCAGAGTCTCTCATGGGTTCTGGGGCTGCGGCAGCTCCTAGCTTTAGTCTTCCTTATAAATAACTCGAGCACCGTGGCTGTGACGGCGCAGCTTGGCCCCTGAGGCGGCAGGCTATCAGGACACACACCCTGCTGCCTGGCAGCCTCTGAGGCCAGGGGGGTGACCATGGGGCAGCCCCTGTTCCTCTGGAAACCTAGAGGTGGCCTGAGAGCAGGCAGAACCAGGGGAACTGAGCTCCCACCAGGCCCCAGGCACTGTGCTGGGTATCTTACAAATGAGGAAACTGAGGCACAGGGACCCACCCAAGGCCATCCAGGGGATGTGTCTGACTTGGGTGAGTCTCTCCCATGCCAGGCCCCCACTGCTGAGGGCTCCACCAAACCAGCTCTGCAGGTGAGGGCCCCTGAGCTGGGGTGGAGGGAACAGGAGCAGGCAGGTATAGGAAGGAGGAAGGGGGAAGTGTGAGGGGGCACCATGCCAGGTGAGGAGGTGAGGAGGACGGATTGGAGGCTGGGGGGCCAGGTGGCTGCTCAGAAACTCAGGCCACACCCATCTTGGACTCAGTCCTGCTGGGTTCATGACTGACTTGAACCTGAGCCAGTGTTAGCGCTGGGGAAGCGAGGAAGGGGAGCAGGGGGAAGAGGACCCCGCATCCCAGGCCTGGCATAGAGGAGGAATGCTGGATAGAATGCCCCAAGCCTCCCCTTCTCTCTTAGTTGAAGGAGACTGCACCCAGCCTGGGTTTCCCACAGTGCTCCTCCAAGAGGTTCCCGGGGACAGGGTGGAGACTGAGGCTCAGGGAAGAGACCTGCCAGCCCTGGCCCCCGCATCTGCCTGTCTGACTGCAGCCCTACTCCATGGCCTGAGAGGCTGCAGCGTCTGGGCTCCACTGGGTCTGAGAGGGTGAGGCGTCCTCTCCACAGGCTGCATTCCCGCAGAGAGATGCCTCTCCTTCACCTCCTGCTCCTCCTGTCCCCGCCCTCACCTCTCCTTCCACCCAGCCTCCGGTCTTTCTTCTAGAACACAGAGCTGACCATGTTTGCTCCCCACCATGAATCTTAGAAGCCTTCTGACTTTACGGCGTGGCCCCGGATCCCAAGCCTGGAGCAAGAGGCCCCGCATGATCTGGTGGTCTCCATCTCAGCTCCCCTTCCCTCTCCCATCCCTGCCGGACCGTTCCTGCTTCTGGATAGACCGCCTCCTCTAATGGCTCAGTTCAGTGCCACCTCCTCCAGGAAGCCTTCCCTAACACCCACAGGCCCCACACATGGCTTGTTCACCCTGGCTCCTAACTACTCCTTCGAGGGTCTGTCTTCCCGTTAGAATCCGGGATCCCTGAGGGTGACAGCCATGCTGGCAGCATCCCTAGTTCTTGGTACGAGGGCTGGCACACAGTGGGTGCATGGTGCTTTCGTGTTCAGCAAGGGAACATGTGAAGGAGAAACAAGCAAAGCGGGGGCGGGGCAGAGGAAGAGCTAAGACATGATGGAGCACATCTGTTCCCACCAGGGATCTGTGTGCAGATTAACATCCCTGCAAAGCCATTAATATGTCAACGGAAATGTAAGAGCAGGTGATAACAGCTCAAGTAATGCCACTTCCCAGTGATGCCTGTATTCCTAGGAGCCGAATTTTAGAAGAGCACCGAGCAATTGCTCAATTCCCAGTGCCTGGTGGGAAAGACAGAGAACCCATGTCTGCCCCATTTCCAAGCGTGGCTGGGAGCAGGGTGGGGGCTTGAGCGGGGCCAGCTTTACCTGGGAGCAGGTAGGCTGTGTCCCGGGGAGAGAGGTGATGGGGCCACAGCAGCCCTGGGGATGCAAGTCCAGGCCAGGAGGGACATGAGGACCTCCACTGAGGAGCAGGGTGTAGGGGCTGAGGGCTTGGGCCTGTGGGACAGGCAGGCCTGGGGGCCTTCAGCTAGAGGCTGAGCTGCCTTGGGCAAGAGACTAGACCTCTCTGAGCTTTGCTATCTGAGGACAGTATGGACTTGCGAGGGATGCGCAAGCGTACTGGGCTGGGTGGAGACTGGCAGGAGGTGCTACTCTTTTTTTTTTTTTGAGACGGAGTCTCACTCTGTCACCAGACTGGAGAGCAGTCATGCAATCTCAGCTCACTGCAACCTTCGTCTCCAGAGTTCAAGCAATTCTCCTGCCTCAGCCTCTCAAGTAGCTGGGACTACAGGCGTGCACCACCACGCCCGGCTAATTTTTTGTATTTTTAGTACAGATGGGGTTTCACTGTGTTAGCCAGGACTGTCTTGATCTCCTGACCTCGTGATCTGCCTTTCTTGGCCTCCAAAGTGCTGGGATTACAGCAGGAGCCACCGCGCCCGGCCAGTGCTGCTCTTTCATTGAAGCTGCAGTGGTCCTGAACACCAGACTAATGGTGGATCCGGCCCTGTGCCCTGGGCGGTGGGATGAGTCAGGGGGAGAGGTATGTGGGGTGCAGAGCACAAGCCAGTCCTGGCACTGAGCCTGCCTGTGTGACTCGGCTGGTCACTCAAACTCTTGAAGACCCCAGGCCTGGGCGTCGGCTGTATGGAAATGAAGTGTCCCCTCTAGGGCTGAGGAGGTCATCTTGGGACCATGTCCACCAAAAAGTCCCAGGCCAGGAAAAGCCTGGGCCCCGGGCATGGCTCTGTCTCCACAATGCTGGGTATCCTCAGGCAAGTCTCTAAACCTCCCCAGGCTCAGTTTTCCCTTTCTGTAAAATGAGGCAGTGGGATCTACAAGACGCTTTCCCAAAAGCTGCGGTCTGACCAAATGGGTGGCTGGCCCTGCTCCTTCTGTGAGGCAGAAGAAGTGGCCCACATGCTTGTGGACAGGCCCCCTCCCAGCCACCATCCTGTCTTAGCGTCACCTTCGCCTTGCTTTTTGCACATGGGCTCTTTTGAGCTGAGCTTCCCTGAGGCCGAAAGAGGCCTCCAGCAACAGCAGCCGGGGACAGAGCCCGAGAGGCCCTCACTAGACCGCAGCTGAGGCCTGTGGGCGTTCGTCAGGGGGGCCTAGGGTCCCTGGGCAGCCGCCTCTGGCTGAGGCCAGAGCACCATGGGACTGGGCTGAAGACGGACTGCCCCCTTTGGCTCTGAATCTGTGCAGCCCCTAGCGCCCTCACCCTGCCAGGTGCTCACCTTGATCATCTGCGAGAGATCCCCTGCATCGGCCAACTCCAGCACGATGTTCAGCTCGTTGTCTTCAATAAACGAGTCCAAATACTTGATGATATTTGGGTGGTTCAGTTGCTGCATGGGGAGAGACAGAGGGGAGGGTGCCGGTGAAGACGGGACAGACTCAGCACCTGCTTGCCACCGGCACCCTGCTGGCACCGTCACCGAGGCCCTGGCATTTGCTAGAGAACTGGGTGCCCAGGGAAAGGCCTGTGCTTCGGAGTCAGGGAGCCCTGAGTGACACTGGGAATGCCACTTTATATCCCCAGGTGTCAGATTCCTCACCTGGAACACTGGCATCATGTTTTGAAGCATAGTTGTGAAGACAACATGTGCCAATACTCTTGAAATGTGTAACATGGCACCTGCACAGAGCTACGTGAGACAAGGCAGGCACTTGTGGAAATGACCCTCCTCCCCGTCCTCCTCACCGCCCAGACCCTGAGGGCGGCATCAGGGCCACCTGTGCTCAGACACGGCCAGCCTGCAGGCACTCCTCAGAAGGATCGTCTCCTCCCTTGGTGCTGCCCTTTCTTCCTCAATTCCTGACCCATCTCTTGTGAAATCATTTTTTTTTAATATTTTTTTGTAGAGATAGGATCTCGCTATGTTGCTCAGGCTGAAACTGAACTCCTAAGCTCAAGTGATCCTCCCACCTCACCCTCCTGAGAAGCTGGGACTATGGCTGCACACGCCGCCATGCCTGGCCCTTGTGAAATCTTGAAAAAATCCCTGGAGGCGCGGCTGATCTGCGCCCGGCTGATTTGCGCAGTGCCAAGACCCTGCCTCTGTCCTTTGAGCCACAGCCTGCGTGTTTCCTGAGGTGGAGCATGGAGCTGGACAGAACGGCACCCCCCCTGCTTGGAAGTCAGGCCCTGCCAGGCTAAGAGGAGCCCCTGGCATCTGTTCATAACAAAGCTGACTGTTCACACCAAAGCGACTCCAGGATCTGCGCGAGCAGAGGGGACTGGAATATTCTGCCCCAGTGTGGGTGTGGTCAGCCTACTCTCGGCACCGGCTGACAACCGGAGGCCGGGGTTGGGGGGGACACATTTTCCTAAAGGCCCGGAAGTGGCTGGGAGGAGGATGTACTGTGCCTGTCCATGGATTTTTAAATGAGGAGCGCCTGGGTGGACGTTGCAGAGCCATGCAAGCCCCCATTCATTCATTCATTCATTCCCCAAGACAGCCCCTTAGGCGGGCCCCCCCAGTCAGGTCCCCAGATGCCAGATCAGCCTCAGCCACTGGCCCCAGCTCCTCCCCATGTGTCCGTCCTCTTTCCAGGTCCCCCCAAAGACTGACCCCTCTCTGCTGTGGCATCCACTGCCTGTCCGAAAGGTCTGGCCCTGAGGTATGTGCGCCGGCCCCTGCCTGCCCCTCAGCCAGCAGGACTGTGGCTCAGCGAACATCCAGACACCACTCCGAGAAACCAGGCACCCTGCACAGCTCAGGACTCGGGTGTGGCACATTCAATCCTGGTTCCCAGGGGTGGCTGGCAGGGAGCCCTGTTGCCATCTTAGCAGCAGGCTCCCCTGTGGAAGCACCTTGGTCAGTAACAAATGTAGGTAATTTCCATGAGGTGACTGGACTTCAGAAGGTGAAACACAAGGCAATCCCAAGCAAAAATAACAAACCTGGAGGCATCACAGTACTGGACTTCAAATTATACTACAAGGCTATGGTAACCAAAACAGTATGGTACTGGCACAAAAACAGACACATAGACCAATGGAAGAGAATACAGAGCACAGAAATAAAGCAGCACACCTACAACCACCTGTTCCTCAACAAAGTTGACAAAAATACGCAATGGGGAAAGGACTCCCTACTCAATAAACTGGCTAGCTATATGAAGAAGAATGAAACGGAACCCCTACCTTTCACCATATGCAAAAATTAACCCAAGATTGAGTAAAGACTTAAATGTAAGACCTCAAACTATAAAAATCCTAGAAGAAACCTAGGAAATACCTTTCTCAACATTAGCCTTGACAAAGAATTTATGACCAAGTCCTTAAAAACAATTGCAACAAAAACAAAAACTGACAAGTGGGACCTAATTAAATGAAAGAGCTTTTGCACAGCAAAAAAAAATGATCAATGAAGTAAACAGACAATTGACAGAATGGGAGAAAACGTTCACAAACTACGCATCTGACAGAGGACTAATGTCCACAATCTATAAGGAACTTAAATCAGTAACAACAACAAAAAAGACATTAAAAAGTGAGCAGAGGAGGCCGGGTATGGTGGCTCACACCTGTAATCCCAGCACTTTGGGAGGCCGAGGCAGGTGGATCACTTGAGGTCAGCTGTTCGAGACCAGCCTGGCCAACATGGTGAAACCCCATCTCTACTAAAAATACAAAAATTAACCAGGTATGGTGATGGGTGCCTGTAATCCCAGCTACTCGGGAGGCTGAGGCAGGAGAATCGCTTGAGCCTGGAAGGTAGAGGTTGCAGTGAGCTGAGATAGCGCCACTGCACTCCAGCCTGGGTGGCAGAGCGAGACTCTGTCTCTAAATAAATAAATAATAAAAATAAAAAGTGGGCAGAGGACATGAACAGATAATTCTTCAAAAGAAGACATACAAGCAACTAACAAACACAAAAAAATGCCCAACACCACTAATCATCAGAGAAATGCAAATCAAAACCACAGCTGACCAGGTGCAGGGGCTCCTGCCGGTAATGCCAACACTTTGGGAGACTGAAGTGAGAGGGCTGCTTGAGCCCAGGAGCTTGAGAACACCCTGGGCAACACAGTGAGACCCCATTAGAAAAAAAAAAAATTATCTGGGCTTCCTGGTACAGACCTGCAGCCTCAGCTACTTTGGAGGTTAAAGTGGGAAGACTGCTTGATCCTGGGAGGTTGAGGCTGCCCTGAGCCGTGATCACACCACTGCACTCCAGCTTAGGTGACAGGGCATGACCCAGTCTCAAAAAAAAAAAAAAAAAAAAAAAAAAAACCCACCACTACAATGAGTACAATGAGGTGCCATCTCACACCAGTTGGAATGGCAATTATTAAAAAGTCAAAAGCTAGCAGATGTTGGCGAGGCTGTGAAGAAAAGGGAACACTTATGTGCTGTTGGTAGGAATGTAAATTAGTTCAGACACTGTGGAACAAAATCTGGAAATTTCTCAAAGAACTAAAAATGGAAATATCATTTGACCCAGCAATCCCATTACTGGCCATATACCCAAAGGAATATAAATTGTTCTACCAAAAAGACACACACACTTTTGCATTCATCACAGCACTATTCACAATAGCAAAGACACGGAATCAATTTAGATGCCCAGAAACGGTGGACTGGATAAAGAAAATGTGGTACGTATATACCACAGAATACTATGCAGCCACGAAAAAGAATAAAATCATGTCTTTTGCAGCAACATGGACGCAGCAGGAGGCCATTATCCGAAGAGAACTGACACAGAAACAAAGCTATACAAAGCTATACTGCATGTTCTCATTTCTTTAAGTGGGAGCTGAATCTTGGGTACACACGGACATAAAGATGGGAACAGCAGACACTGGACACTACACGCAGGTGGGGGAAGTGAGGCAAGGGCTAGAAAACCTCCTATTGCGTATGATGCTCACAATCTGAGTGATGGGATCAGGAAAAGCCCAGATCTCAGCATCACACCATATACTCTTGTAACAAACCTGCATATGGACCCTCTGAATCTAAAAGAAAAATGGAAATTTGAAAAAGAAGGTGGGCCGGACATGGTGGCTCATGCCTGTAATCCCAGCACTTTGGGAGGCTGAGGCGGGCGGATCACCCGAGGTCAGGAGTTCAAGACCAGCCTGGCCAACATGGTGAAACCCCATCTCTACAAAAATACAAAAGCTAGCCGGGTGTGGTGGTGCATAGTTGTTACTCCGGCTGCTCGGAGGCTGCAGTGAGCTGAGATCGCACCACTGCACTCCAGCCTGGGTGACAGAGTGAGATCCTGTATCAGAAAAAAAGAAAAGAAAAAAAAAAAAAGAAAATCCTCTTGCTCAGATTTTTTGTTGAGAAGGCCGTCTCACGCAAACACTGGCCATCAAAGCACCGCCCTCAGCACACATCACGCTCCAGACACGTTTGCCAGTTACCAAACAAAAGTGTCAAAGCAAGTGAATGGCAAGTTGAAAGAGCTTCCAGATCTCTAAGGCACGTCCTACGGATCATGCAGGTTGCTACTAGGATAAACGGGAACACGCTGCTCCTTCACCCTCCTCTTGAACTTCACCTCATCATGACATCAGGAAATCTCACACCCTCTCTGGGAGGACTCCTCAAAAACTGCCCAGGTCATCAGCAGTCCAGGCATGTTAGGTTCTCCAAGGGAGAAATGAGAGGGGTTGGGGAGGCAGTAAAGCCCCGTCCAGGAGGCGCTGGTTCCTGGGGAGGGGAGGAGGGAGGCTCCTCCCTTGTCTCCTTGCAGGTATGAAGACAGGAGGACGGGCTCCTTATGCCCAGGTAATCTACAGAGGCAGAAAGGGGCTCCGGATGTCTATTGAGCTAAATCCCCAAAGCCCAGAGAGGGGAAGGGATCAGCCATGGGTCTACAGCAAGCAGGGGCTGAGCTGAGTCTAGAACCTGGTCCAGTGACCCCAGACCCTGGTCCACACAGAGTCCACTTCTCAGCCTGTGGCCTCTTGGTGGGCCCAGGTGGGTCTGGAAGGGGACAAACTCAGGCCAGAAACAGGGAAGATGCTGCAGAGATGTACATGGTTGGGCTTTGTCTGGCTGTGGTGACGGCCAAAGGGAAGGGAGGGAGAGCTGAGGGTAGGGGTCCCTGTCCTTTGGATCTCTGCCACCAGGGGCTCTGCTCCCAAGCTCCAGGCCCTCCCGGATGTAACAAAGAATGTCTGTCTGTCTATGATCTGTCTTCCCCACTGGGCTGCATCCTGGTGTCCAGCATTCAGTGGTGCTCAGAAATTGCACGGAATGAACGAACACACGCCTGCATTCCAACAGGACCTGCCCTCTTGTCCCACGCTTGGCAGCTGCTGACCCCTCCAGCCCCTGCATTTGGGAGGTTTTGGGTTCGGGTTCTTGGCATGAATAAGCAATGTCACCCGGTTGTCCCTCTGAGAACCACGTTTCCTTTTGTTTTGTAGGAAGCACCTCATGCCCTGGCACATCCTGTTGACTTCCCATGGGCTACCCGGGAATTGGGACTGGTGTTCTGGAATGTGGCTGGCGTTGGCAGGCAAAGGTGGTGACCATGACGACCGAGCTGCCTTGGGTGGGCTACCAGCGCACCACACACCAGCGCTGCCCCGAGCTCATGAGATGCATTTCCTCACTGACTCCTCCAGAGCCCCTGTTGTCATCACGCCCCCTTTACAGATGAAGAAACTGAGGTCCTGAGAGGCCCACAGCTGGCCCACAGCCACACAGCTAGTGAGCAAGGGATGTGTCCTCCAAAACCCAGGCTTGATGCCCTCAGCTGCACGGCAGCCCTGGGGAAGGGGCAGAATCCCCTCCCCAGCCAGGTGGGCTGACGCCAGGCTAGGCTACTGCCAGACAGAGGCTGCGGTGGCACATCTGTGTGACCAGCAAGCAGTCCAGGCTGTGCTCAGCATGCTCCCTGTGGGGCTCCTTCTCTTGGGGAGAAGGGCACATGAGGTGAAGGGGGCAGTAGGTGACCAGGACAACCACTCCTCAGGGCTGGCGAAGTGGCAGCAAGCTGACCATGACCTAAACATTTAAGCAATGTTCTCGAGGAGTATTTGTTGACATATAATAGTTAGAAATAAGGATGTCTCCTGCTTCCAGCCTTGACTCCATCACCCGCTGTGGCTGGGGGCCATCAGAACAGGCACAACTCACACCCAACCACGTCCCCCCCGCCCACAGCCCCTTCAGTGGCTCCCCTTTTGTTCTGAGTGTGTATCTGGCCCTGCTGCCACGTTCACCCTTCTGTCTCCCCCACCTCCCATAATCCACACCGTTGGAGTGCCTTGAAGCAGGTTCTGGGACGGTGCCCCGGCCTCTGTGGGGCTTGCCCAGGAAGCGGGTTTCCCCTGGGCTCCCAGCCCACCAGTTAATCTGCCTCACCCTGGAAGGTCACCATCTGCTTCCCACCTGCTTCCCCACCAGCCTGGAAGTCCCCAAGGGCATGGCCAAGGCCTCAGAGCACAGGGCAGGGTGTGGCAGGATAAACCGCTCATCTGAAATTCTGCAGCTGTGGTTTTGGCGGGCGTCCCTGCCACGAGCAGCCCTACTTTGCTGGAAACTGCCAAGCAAACCCTGTATGTTTCACAGGGGGCCGGGCACAGTGGCTTCCACCCATAATCCCAGCACTTTGGGAGGCTGAGATGAGAGGACTGCTTGAGGTCTCAGGAGTTCGAGACCAGCCTGGGCAATATGATGAGACCTTGTCTCTAGAAAAAATTTTAAAATTTGGCCAGGCATGGTGGTTCATGCCTGTAATCCCAGCACTTTGGGAGGCTGAGGTGGGTGGATCACCTGAGGTCAGGAGTTCAAGACCAGCCTGGCCAACATGGTGAAACCCCGTCTCTACTAAAAATACAAAAATTAGCCGGGTGTGATGGCAGGCACTGTAATCCCAGATATTCAGGAGGCTGAGGCAGGAGAACTGCTTGAAGCCAGGAGGTGGAGGTTGCAGTGAACCGAGATTGTGCCATTGCACTTCAGCCTGGGCGACAAGAGCAAAATTCTGTCTCAAATAAATAAACAAAAATAGAAATAAAAAATAAAAATGAGCCAGCTGTGGTGGCGTGCACCTGCGGTCCCGGCTACTTGGAGACTCAAGCGGGGAACTGCTTGAGCCTGGGAGTTTGAGGCTGCAGTGAGCTGTGACCATGCCACCGCACTCCGGTCCACGCAACAGACTTTGCCTCTTAAAAAAACAGGAAAACAAAGAAAAAGGCTGAGAGGAGAGATGGAAAGAGGATGAGAAAGAGAAAAAGAGGGAGACAGACATGGAGACAGAGGCGGAGCCAGACAAGCTGCAGTCTGGACGTAGCCCCCACTGCCAACTCCTCCCCTGGCCAAGCCTGGTTCACAGGCCACAGCGAGGCAGGGTCAGGGGTGCCCTGACGGGAAGGACTTCTGTGCCAGGTACCGCCATGTATAAGCAGGAGGGGCAGCCATGAGAGAAGTCTGTAGGCAGCAACGCTGAGGGCTGAGCAGAGCAATGAGGCAGGGGCCGCTCCTGCCTGGCCATGAGGAAACGCACCAGCTGCTGACCCCAGAAAGCCACCGTCTGTGAACTCAGCAAGGGCTGTGGGTCCCTGGCACCCAAGGGCTGTGATGGGCATGGTAAGGGCCCCCGAACCTCCTGCAGGAGGTGAGGCCCCGGGCACTCACCTTCAGCAGGCCAATCTCCTTGACGCAGTCCTGCCTTGCCTTGGCGTCCATCATCTCAAAGATCTTGGGCGGGAGGAAAAGAGAAACAGAGTGGTTAAAATCTGTGTCCAGTGCCCCGATTTTGCAGTCTCGGCTCTCCCAACTCCTGGTCGAGGGACACCGTGACTCCCCTGCACCCCCAGCCCCCGTAGGGCTTTCTCACTGCGGGCCCCCCAGCACTGTCCCACCACAAACACATAGTGGCACTAAAGAACCAAGACAGAGAGCCCAGGCGAGCCCCTGCTCAGAAGATCAAGAGAGAGGGCCGGGTGCGGTGGTTCATACCTTAAGCCCAGCACTTTGGGAGTCTAAGGTGGGTGGAACACATTAGGTCAGGAGTTTGAAACCAGCCTGGCCAACGTGGTGAAACCCCATCTCTACTAAAAATATAAAAATTAACTGGGTAGGTGGTACGTGCCTGTAGTCCCAGCTACTCAGGAGGCTGAGGCAGGAGAATCACTTGAACCTGGGAGGCAGGGTTGCAGTGAGCCGATCAGGCCATTGCACGCCAGCCTGGGTGAGAGAGTGAGACTCTGTCTCAAAAAAAAAAAAGATCAAGAAAGAAACTGGTCCTTTTTTCCACCGCCCTCAGGCTGCCTGTGGTGCTCTCTCCCCTTCTCCCAGCCCCGTCCTCTTCCCCGGGCCTCCTCTGCCCAGGCTCTCAACCTCATTCTTTAAGGACTAGCGAGCAAATCCAGGGGCTTGGGAAGCTTTGCTGAAGGATTTAAAGCCATTTCCTCTGGCAAAGCCATGCTGAGACAGGCCCGGCGGCTCTTGTGGACATGCCTCCTGTCCTGACTTTGTTGCTTCACCTACTGCCTCCATTTAGGAGGGACACAGAGCGCAGAAGCCCAGAACTGGCCAGCGTGTGCAAGGCGCAAGGATGATGTGTGGATGCAGTCTGAACCTCAGCTCCGCCACGACTCACGCTGGGGCCCTGGTGGGTTATGAGGTCTCTGCACTGTGTTCCTCATCTGAGAGATGAGATGACAATCCCCACCCACAGGACTGTTGTCAGGATCCATGTGCTCCTTGCATGACCCAGTACACAGCAGGCGCTCAATGCATGCTTGTTTCTTTCCCCTTGTGGTTCGCAGTGAGCTTTTCTCAACAGGTGTCCACCTGATTCTCTCTGTAACCCAGCAAGTTGGGTGCTGTTTCCCTCATTCACAGAGGAGGGGAGGGGAGGGAAGGGACTGGCCCGGCCCTGTGTCCGCCATCCAGACGCAGAGGCGGCCTCCCATGATACAGGTTTGAGCCCGCGTGCGGTCAGCTCACCTGCACCTTCTTCAGAGCCACCGTCTTCCTGTCCAGCAGGCAGGTGGCCTTGTACACCTCGCTGAACTGTCCTCGGCCTATCTTCTTTTCGATCTGGAAGTCCGCCAGTGAGCAGCGAAAAGACAGGGTGTTGGGGTGTCTCTGGAGGCGGGGACAGAGGGCCTCTGTGAGCAGCCAGGCTGGAGCAGAGGCCTGGGGACCCCTAGAGCCCCAGCACCCCAACAGCACCCTCTAAGGTGAAGGAGGGACTCTGCTGCCAACCCTACTTTCGGGCCTCCCAGGCTCCCCCTGGGGGCTCTCTGTTCAGGGTCCCTGGTTCCCCTCAAGGACCCCAGTGCAGGTGAAAACCCGAGGCTGTTCACGCTCCCGCTCCCCACGGCCCCCATCACCACCTTCCTTATCTGACTGCTTGTTTGCTGCCTCTGAGTCCCAACCCCGGGTCTAGCTTTGTGGGACCAGGGGCCTTGCCCATCTCATCCACTCCTGAAACCTTAATGCCCAAGTTGGGGTCTGGCAAGCCGAGTGCAGCTCAGGTGTCCCTGGCCTGTGGCCACCATGCAAAATGCACCAAATCATTGTAAGAAAAGGCAAGTTCCCAACCTGGGGCGCCCACTCCCCACCTCAGACAAGAAAACCCAGGTTAACATCTGTAGCCTTGGCAGGTGTGGTGGCTCACGCCTGTAATCCCAACACTTTGGGAGGTTGAGGCGGGTGGATCACTTGAGGTCAGGAGTTCAAGACCAGCCTGACCAACATGGCAAAACCCTGTCTCCACTAAAAATATAAACATTAGCTGGGCGTGGTGGCACATGCCTATAATTCCAGCTACTTAGGTGGCTGAGGCACGAGAATCACTTGAAGCCAGGAGGTGGAGGTTGCAGTGAGCAGAGATCATGCCACTGCACTCCGGCCTGGGTGATGGAGTGAGAATTTGTCCCACCCACCACAAAAAATGTGTAGCCTTACACTCTGAGCCCATCCTTTAGATAAACTGCCCTTTTTAGGGCACCGTGAAGAAACCAGAGCTCCATGAGGACTCTGCAGGGCCCAGCGCTAGGACACGTGATCCTGCACTAGAACCTGCCCAGGGAAGAAGCCTCCAGGTGAGGCCACAGTGGCCAGCAGGCCCATGGGGCGGCTGCAGAGCGGGGGTGCGTTTCCTGGGCAGGTCTGAGCTGGCTCTATCCACTTCTCCTCTGCCCTTCTCCCAGAGTGCCAGAGGGGAACCTGGTTATGTGGGGATCCCTACTCTGGGACCCCGAATCATGACTTAATAAGTAATAGGAAGTCATTGGGAAAGCAGGGGGGAAAGTGAAGTGAAGATGTCTCTTCCAGGCTGTGACACCTGTACAGTGAGCTCTCGGGAAAAGGCAGGAGGGGGCGCCAACACTGGGCCAGGGAAGGAGGAGACAGACAGGGGAGAGGATGCCACGTCCCCGGGCTGTGCGTGGCGAGGTGGGCCCCACTATGTCTTCATTTGCCCAATGAGTAAACTGACGCCCAGAAGGGCCAGCCGTGCCCACATCACCTGGCTCCATGCCACCACCCCCACTGAGGCAGGAACAAGCAGTTGAACTTTCTAGCATGAAATGGGTCTTTGCTGAGGGTCACACTGAGCTGGGAGCTGCACCGGGGCGTCTTTAGAGTCAGCACGCTGGTGGAAGGCATCAAGACCAAACCGAGAACTACAGGACTGGCCCTTCTGCCAGCTGCTTCCCCACTGGGAACCACACCAGGAACCTCGGCCAGACCACCTGGGTCTCAGCCTGGGGCGGCTGCAGAGCAGGGGCGTTTCCTGGGCAGGTCTGAGCTGGCTCCATACACTTCTCCTCTGCCCTTCCCCAGAGGGGAACCTGGTTATGTGGGGATCCCTACTCTGGGACCCTAAATCATGACTTAATGAGTAATAGAAAGTCACTGGGAAAGCAGGGGGAAAAGCAAAGTGAAAATGTGTCTTCCAGGCCAGGCATGGTGGCTCATGCCTGTAATCCCAGCATTTTGGGAGGCCAAGGCGGGTGAATCACTTGTGGTCAGGAGTTTGAGACCAGCCAGGCCAGCTAATTTTTGTATTTTTACAAAAATTAGCTGGGTGTGGTGGTGCATGCCTGTAAATCCCATCTACTTGGGAGGCTATGGCAGGAGAATTGCTTGAACCTGGGAGACGGAGGTTGCAGTTGGCCAGATGGTGCCACTGCGCTCTAGACTGGGCGACAGAGTGAGACTCCACCTCAAAGAAAATGTCTCCTCTAGATTTGGCTGAGGGAGCTCTACAGAACAGCCTCCTGTAGGAGCGGGTGATGGGAGTCCAAACCTCACAGCACACAGCAAGGGGAGGGCTGGGCCAGCCTTAGCTTTGAAGCCTTGAGACCTAATCATCCCCCACCATGGGTCCTATGCGGGGACCTGATCTGGAGGGCTGCTGGAGGAGGAAGATGATGATTTTATCCACCCCATGCCAACATCTGTCGGGCAAACACTTGACGCCTGTACATGGAGAGCCCACCTAAGAGCAAGCATCGCTGAGTGCCTACTGCATGCTGGGCTCTGTGCAGACTCTGCCCACGTGCCAGCTCTCTGGGTCCTCAGAACAACCTTGTGAGTCGGCCCTAGTGCTGTCCCCATTTCAGGAATAGGAGGCTTGGAGGAGTAGCAGTGACCTGTTCTGGTCAGGCAGCCAAGGACGGCAGAGCTGGGGTGTGACCCCAGGACTGGGGACTATGGTGCCCAAGCTCTTGCTCCATATCGGGTGGGCTCTCAGCTCAGACCCCTCCTTGGCTTTTCGCTCAAGATCCCTTGACCAGCCAGGCCTGCCGCTTCCTGCTCCAGCCTCCGCTCTTTCAGTCACCTGAGCCCCACCAATGCCCCGCCACCAGCCTCTTCAGAAGGGGGCCCCTCCAGAAGGGGGCCCTGTCTACTCCCCTCCGTGTCCCCTGCACTGAGGCTCTGACCTGACCAGAGCAACTGCTGGGAGCATGTTTGTGGAATGACCCATGGAATGTGCTCAACACGGCCTGGCACACAGTGGGACTCTGTGACTCAGCCGCTGTCACCTCTAGGAATGCAGCTGAAATCACATACCCTGAGAAACAGCCAGGGTGGCTTTCTGAGTGCTTAGAGGAATCGCCCGTACTCACAAAAATAACCACCAGGTGTTGTGCATCAGATGCCTACTATGCGCCAGTTTGAGCTGCTTAGACAGCTCTGTGATTCCATACTCCTAACAGCTTCATGAAGTTAGGGTTATGAATACCATCTCGCAAACCAGGACACAGCCTGGCACTCCCGGTCGGATGGACAGCCAGCTGCACTGCTGGTGATGGGGGTGGGCTCCCTCTCCTCTTGGGCCTCAGTTTCCTCCAGGAACAGTGAAGAGTTCAGAGGAAGTGATCCCTGAGGGTCTTTACCCTGGGAAAGCCGGGCTTCTCACTGTGACTAGTGGGAGAGCGGCTGAGGTTCCCAACACTGCCCATCCTGGGAGGCTAGTGTGCAGCTCCACAGTGGGGCGGAAGCTCCCGGTAGACGTGGGTGGAGGTGGCTAGGGCTCCATCTGCTCACATGCATATGGATGACCCAGATTTGCATTTCCTGTCACAGCCCATCCGACCCAATTAGAGGATAGCTCCTCTGGCAGGGCAGCTTCCTGGACGGCAGCATGGGTGCTGGGGGCACGGTCCAGCAGGCTCTGGGGCACCACGGCACTCCCAGGGTTGCCAGGGGACCCTGTTCTCAGGGTGGCCTCTGCTCAGGTGTGGGGCACCTCGGGACACCAGGCTCCTGGGGCAGCTGCTCGGGCCCCGGCCAAGTCCTGGCCCTGGTGCACCTGGGGTTCTGGGCGGAAGGGAAAGGGTGAACTGTGTTCTTGGCCTCGAAGGCCTGGCTGCTCTCTGTCACCACCTCTGAGACCTCCCTACCCTCCTGGGTCAGCTCCTAGCAAGTTCCACGTTTGCCCCTGCAGCCAAGTGACCCTGGGCGGTCGTCCACACACAGGGACGGTAACACTGGCCCAGGATTTCTCTGGGAGATGATGGCGGTGATGAGCATCCATGTGGCTCTAAACTGCAAGACGGGCATGGGGCTGGCCCCAGAACAGTGTGTCTGAGGGTGGCCCGAAATGTGGTCACTGCTGACTAATGACCAACCAGCCTGATGGTCTATCAGAAAACTGGCTTTTCCTTTTTTTTTTTTTTTTCTTGAGATGGAGTTTTGCTCGTCACCAGGCTATGGTGCCATCTTGGCTCACTGCAATCTCCGCCTCCCAGGTTCAGGTAATTCTCCTGCCTCAGCCTCCTGAGTAGCTGGGATTACAGGCATGTGCCACCACGTCCAGCTAATTTTTTTGTATTTTTAGTAGAGGCGGCGTTTCACCACGTTGGCCAGGCTGGTCTTGAACTCCCGACCTCAGGTGATCCACCCACCTCGGCTTCCCAAAGTGTTGGGATTACAGGCGTGAGCCACGGTGCCCAGTCCAGAAAACTGGTTTCTAGTGCTCACTGTCCCTGCTCTGTGTGAAGCCCTGTTCTGGCTCCTGGGGAAAGTAACACCCCCAACCCCACCCCAGGGCACAGGTTGGCAGAGGTGTAACCACTGCTCTGGCTCTGACATGGAGACTCCAACGCTGGCGCCTGGAAGCTGAGGCTCCAACCTCAATTCCACCACTTCCCAGCTGTGGCCTCAGGTGAGCCTTCTGGGTCTCAGTTTCCTCTTCCATACAGTTGAGATCATAACAGTACCCCCTTCAGGGGGCTGCTGGGGGTTAAATGGATAAGCAAATGCAAGCCCCTGGAAGAGGGCCTGGTACTAGGTGCTGGGAGATGTCACTCTCCATCTGTTGTGGTGATGGTCACTGCGCTGCTATCTGTCGAATGGGCCTAGTGATGGCACCTGCTTCCCACGGGACTGGGATGGCCTGAGCAGTGGACAAGCCTGGGAGTTCTCGGCCGTTGATACCATCACCCTGCTGTTCCCATCCCTTGGAGGTCTGCTGACCTAGGGGCTGGCAGTAACCTTGGGGGCTGCAGGGAGGCAGCGGGGCTGACATGCACCTGCCGGCAGGTAAGAGACACAACCTTGCGACTTCGTCATCCAGGACCGTTTGCCAAGGGACCATGCTAGGCAAGGGCCACTCTTAGCCTCCCTTCCAG